CCCGAAGCCCCCAGCCCCCTCTGGTGACAAGTTCATTTCTCAGGATGGGGGCTTGCGACCTTATCCTGAGCCCACTTTCCAGACCTAGAGGGAGGGCTTAAAGGGGATGAGGGGGCCCCATTTTTAGGCTATGGGCATCAGTTTTCCCAACTGGCCACACACCCTGGGAACCTCTCTGCTGCCCAGGAAGGGAGTCCATGCCACCCCTAAGCTGAATCTGGAAAGAGGGGCCCTCTAGGTAGCCAGGTCTTTGTGAGAGGGGCCCTGGAGCCTTTGGTTTACAGAAAGGGGTCAGAGAATCCCAAGGTTCTGCATGGCCAGGGAGAGAGGAGCCAGAAACCAAGAGCTGTCTGCCTTCTCTTGTGCAGAGTCCTGGGTGGGGGGGCGGGTTGAGGGGTAGGGTGGTTTCTGCTCTGTGCTGAGACGGGATGTGGGTCGCCTTCTACTTCCGCATGGCCTGCTCCCAAGAGTTCCCTCCCGGTTGCCCACATTTGCCTGCCATCTGCCTAGCAAATAGGCCCTTCCCCAGGGGGCAGGCTGGCTTGGAGCGCATCCCTGTCCAGGCCCCTGACCCTCTGCGAACTCAGGCAGGTGCACACACAAGGATGCCTGAGATGCCCAGAGGCGAGCTGATCCCCCTGGAGTCGTCTTCGGTGGCTTTGGGGGCCTCCATGGCATCTAGAACCCCATACCTGGTGAGCATGGTGCTCCAGTTCTCTGAACCTCAGTTTCCTCAATGTATACAATGGAGATAATGAAAGTACTGCTCCCCCAGGGTCATTTTCGGGATTCAATGAGTGATGCATGTAAGGCTATTTAGAAGCGTCCCTGGCATGTGGGACGTGCTGGCCACGAATTCAGTTAATAAAATAGGAAAGGTGGGAATGTCCAACTGCCGTTGGGGAGATTTCCACCCCCCTTCCTTTCTCAGTGGAGACCGTCTGCTCTCCCCTCTCTCCCACAAAGGGTTAACCTCTGCCCCACCCCTTCCTTACCCTGTAAGGAGAATGGTCCATTACAGGTGAGCTGGCGTTGCCTTGGAGACCGCAGCCTAGTAGGGGCTGAGGGCGTGCTCTCCCTGAGGGTGGGGCGAGGCTGGGACTCAGCAGCTTCCTCTAAGACTTCCGGCCGCCCCCCCACCCCCCCCACCTCAGTACCTGTGGGGGCTCCCACCCAAGAGCCTCTTTTCTGTAGTATCTAAATTACCCATTAGGCTGCGGCAAGCTTTCCTCCCTTCTTCCCCCATCTTTGCCAGTGGAGGGAGCTGGCTCCCATCTCCATGGAAACCCGCCAGCCACAGCCTGGTGGGGAGGGCGAGGAGGAGCCTTAAAGAAACACAGTGCCTGGGGTGGAGGTGACACCCACCCCACCTCATTTGTATACCCACCGACAGCCTGGAAGATTCCCCACCAGCCCTGCTGAGCAGACAGCCCAGATGTAGGTGGTCCCAAGTACCCCTTCAGGCCTACCAGATCATGGCCCTGGCACTGCCACTCTGGGCTATCTTATATACCCAGGCTGAGCCCTCAGCCCTGCCCCCTGCTCGGAACCGACTGGCGGGGCCACCTTCCTGTGGCATGGGCATTTCTGTCCATGGGAAGGGGCCAGGAGGAGGCCAGCCAGGAGGTTCCCAGAGTGTGTGCAAGCAGAAAAGCAGCCCTCCCAGATCTCAGCCTGGCTTCACGACCTCCCGAATGTGCCCCCCCCACCCCACCCTGTCCCCATTTAGAGGATGGAGGCCAGAAGAGAGGACTGGCCTGAGGATTCGGGCTGTGGCCGGGGTGGGGCTCCTCCAGGGTCTCACTGAGGTGCTCCCTGCTGGCTCTTGCACCTCAGAGCCTGCCACGCCCTTTCTCCCTCCCTGCCTGCCCCTGTTGAGCTGGCCCTTGGATGCACGGGCACTCCCTCTGCCCTGGGGCAGCTCGCTGAATGCCAGCAGAAATCTTGGAGGGAGGTCCTCTGAGTGCTTGTCCCTCCTCCCTTGTGGGACTCCCCACCTACTTCCTAAGGGTCTGCCAGCAGCAGCTTGTTTCATCTGTAACCACCCCCCATCCTACGGCCACAAGTGGCCAGGGTCCTGCCGCTCTGTATCTGTTGTTGCAGGCTTTGTTTGTCTCTGCCTTCTGTTGATGTCTCCACCGTCCAGCCTGACCTCCGAGCCCAAGAAGCCCCATTCCTGTGGCTCGGGTCCATCTCCTCTCCCCACCCCAACCCCGGCCCTTGCCTGGCACACCCCTGTCTACAAGGATGCAGAAAAGGTGCCCCTGGGCTTGCGCCTGGGCACACACTCACACACACACTTGAGCATACACGCACATACACACCCCTCACTCATCTTGGTCTTTTGGCCATTTCTCATCAGTTGCTTTTTGCTTTTTGTCTCGTCCTTTGTGCTCCTCACCCTTCTCCTCTCCCTTTCCCCGCTGCTCGGGTCTCTGTTTCTGGGTTTCTCCACGTGGGTTACTGTGGTGGTCCAGCATCTGTCTTTGTCTCTCATTCCCTGCTCCCCCAGCCCTCCTGCTCTGTCTCTCCTGTTCCCTCCTGCCTCTTTCTCACCCTGTCTGTCACCTTTCAGTCTTCTGCAGCCTGCCCCACCAGCGCCACCCCCTCCCCCCCGCCTTTGCAGACGTGGCCTTGGCTCCATCTGTACACCAGCTTGTGGAACACTCCCCTGCCTCCTTTGCCCCTGAAGGTGCTGATGGGGGGTGGGGGGCCTGCTGTGCTGACAACCTGAGCTACTTGCTCTGTAATTGCCTGAGGAATGGGGAGAGATCAGAGACCCAGCCACAGCTGTCAGGGGCGTCCCCAACTTCTGGCTCCTGCCTGGACTCCGAGGGCCTGGGAAGGTGGTGAGCTGGGTGGCAAAGACCAGGAGACTAAAAGAGGTTGAATGTGAGACTGTGGGGTGTCAGGATGGGGCAGTGAGTGGAGCCCACGGGGATTGGGGCTATCCTGTATCCCCTGCATATACACCAGGGTACACATGCCAAACCCCATTCTGGGGACAAGCAGCCATCTTCTTTCCAACAAAAGGGAGTGCTCCAGCCTCACAGGCCAGAAGGACGGCCTTGAAGATTCTTGCTTGTCTCCGTCCCCTCCCCCTCTGAAGACCAGAGCACTCAGAGCTCCCAAGGCGGCTGTTTGATTGCCTGCCCTCTGATCTGAGTCTCCTACTTCCTACAGGCCTTGAAGCTGAGGCCAAGGCCGCGTGAGGCCCACCCGGCTTGCGTTGACTTGGTGGACCTCCTCCTTTCTGGGACCCAGTTTGGCTCTTGCCCTCAGGAAGTGACCAGGCCATTGCCACTTCCTTACTCTCCTGGTCACTCTCTCGGCTATCAGCCTGTCCATGTTGACCCACCCAGGTGCTTCCTTCCCCGCCTCCCCCTCCAGCTTTGGGTCTGGGAGTCTGAGAGCTCTAGGCTGACAGCTATTCGCCACTGTCCATTTTGCCTGCTGGGTCCCGGGGCAGTCTGCTGAATTCACCATGATTCTTGGGTCACCTTCTACAAAACCAAGCTGTGGCTTCTGGCTGCCTCCTGATTGACTGAGTCTGAATGTCTTGGCATGGCATTCCAGGCCTCCCCACCCACTGCTCCAGCCTTCTGGATGAGGCTGGTCCCCATTTTGATCAGGTCCTGGTTGGGAGGGAGTTTGCCTGGGATGGACTTGGTGAGCTCAGGCATGACATCCAGGCTCCAGCCCCCAAGCTCTCAGTCACTTTTACTTTTGTCTTTTTCTCACACCTCTTCCTGTTCGGGGGTCACAACTCTCTGTCTTCTTGGGAGTGTCTCTTTTTCTCATCGTTGGCAGAGAAGTGCCCTCCACTGGGCCCTCGGTCACTGGGGCTTCTTGCATGCAGAGGTGGCCTGTGCATATAGCTGGCAGACTTGGGCTTGGGGTGGACACATCTATCAGTTGAGCCCTGAAGACTCAAAAAAAAAAAAAAGTCCAGAAGGTGGGCCTGCAAGACACTCTAGATGTAAGAAATGCTGTCCCAGAGCTTTCCCTGAGCCCTGCTCTGAGCCTGGCTTGCAGCATCTGGAAGGGAGGAGGCCACAGTTGCCTCTGTTGACCCCCTAGGAGCCCGAGGGACAGCTGAGAGGTGCTTTCCTCGACTCTCTCCTGCCACTTCTTGAGGGCAGGCTTCCTTTCCCCTTCTTTCTTCTTTTCTCCTCAACCTGTTCGATGAAATGCAGCCTTCTTGGTTCCCTTCTCTTCTTGTCCTGTTCCCACTTCCCAAGTCTCCCTGTCCCCCACCAGGTTTTTAGGTCTGAACAGCACCCAGGGATCAGTTGGTTCCGAAACCCCCAGCAATGAGACTGTGACAAGGGTTCATCTCTACATAATGTGTGCATGCATGCTGTGTGTGCACACAGAGATAGCAGACAGGAGTCATCCCCCAGAGACACAGATGTGCAGGAGCAGACGCCCTTACTTCTGTGTGCCTGCAGTCATACACACACCCACTCATGAGTGCCTCCCGGTTCCAAAGAAGCCACACAGCTACTGCACACCCACATCCACACTCATGCCCACAGGCCCCTGCTTATGGGCCCTTGAGTCACACATCGGGAGGACGGACACAGAGAAGCCTGTGGCAGGCCCAGGGGAGCGGATGGGGCAACAAGTTGGTGGTGCCGGAGAGGCAGCTGGTGAAGGAAGCACGGCCATTAGGAAGGGAATGAAAGGCGAACTGGAGGCCCAGACTCTGCTGGTCTCTTCCAGGTTTTCTTCTTCAAAATGGGGGGGTAGGGGGAGGGAAGAGTGGAGGGGGCGGGGCCGGGGGCGGGGCCAGGAGCCCAGGCTCGCCCAGATGTTAGTCACTAACATCCCTCCGTTCTCTCTCCTCCCTTACCTTGCCCTTCCCTTCCTCCCCTCTCGCATTCCCCCCACCCCCGGCTCCCTCCCGCAGCCACCCACCAGCCACCCTTCCCTCCGGCCTGAGCTTTAGCCGAGCCCGGCCGGCTTTGCCGCGCCTAGCCGCCGGCGCCGCCGGGAAGATGGCCATGGCGCTGCGGTACTTGTGGCCTCTCCTCCTCTGCAGCCCTTGCGTGCTCATCCAGATCCCCGAGGAATGTGAGTAATCGGAGGGCGCCGCGGCGCCTCCCTTCCCCGCCGCGCTGGGCTTTTCTTTATTTTCTGCCTCCTCACTTTCTGTGGGTTCCAGACCCCCCGCCCTTCCCTTCCTGGGGACCCGGAGTGCCCAAGAGGTACCCGGACTTTGGATCCCCCCTGGAAAGTACAGGGTAGAAGACTCGGGCTATATCAGTACCACGGACAGGGACCAGAGACGCGGGAGGGCGGGCGCTGTTTCAGCACCACGGACAGCGGGCCTGGCGCCTGACCCGCCCCCTTGGGCCTCAGTACCGGCCCCACTCCGCCAAGGATGGGGCAAGCGCGAGAATGTCCTCAGCTAGCTAGACCAAGCCTCACTCCGGCTTCTGACTTGAGTAATCCTATCTGGGGCCCTTGGTAGCCCTTTCCGTGAACTGAGACAGGAAAAGACCCCTTGGGAAGATCCAGCAGCCTTCTGGATCCTTAAAATGTGATGTGTAGTTGCTTGGTGGGGGGTTGGAGGTGGGGCTGTTGGAGTAATCCCTTCGAGGGGGGTTCCTGGGGAGGGTGACTACAGGGCTGTGACTGAACGCAAGTATTTGTGTATGCTTTTGAGCTGGACAGACTGTGTAATTTGGATATATTTTTAGATGTGTGTGGTGTGATACATTGACTAAGTGGGGATATTCCCGAGTGTGATTTTGATGTCCTGTGTAGGTAAGTTTGTGAGTCACTCTAACCGCTTCTTACTGGTCACATTTGTGAAGCTCTGTAGGTATTTGACTGTTGACATTGGATTGTACTAGTGAGTCATACGGGCCTGTGAGTACCTGTGTGTGGACCGTATGTTACTGTGGATGTTTTCTCCTGAGTGTGAGGAGATATAAACACACTGCTATAAGCGGCTTTGGGGCTTGTGTGAGGGACAGTTGACATGGTAGCATTTTTGTATCTTAAATCTGCTCCTTGTTCGCCCTAGTAGCTTTCCCCCTCACCTTTCCACCTTTGTCTCTGAGCCTGCACCTGTTGGAGGCCAGCATCACTGAGAGATGAGCTGTGCGCTGAGGCTGGGGGAGACTGTCCAAGCCAGGAGTGGGTCAGGGGCTGAGAGAGGTGACCATGACCGGCCCCTGACATTGAGGGGCCCTGAGGGTTTGCAGGAGGTGGGGAGGGTCTGATGGGAAGAAAGTTTGGGGCTGTCTCCCTAGATATACACATGGAGCTCCATGCAGTCACACCCGAAGCCCTACCCCAGCTGCAGAAGCACACGGACCAGCCACCTGTATCCAGCCAGGCACAGAGACCCCCCAAGAGGACACACGGGGGCACACAGGCACACACAAGTGAGAGGCTGAGATACAAAGGAACACAGCCATCCGCATGAACACAGGAGCGGGTAGGCCACACAGAGTCATACAGTAAATGCAGGCAGGCACTCACAGCCTTCCAAGGTACTCTGGCCAGACACGTCCATATAGAGGCACACGGGCAGATGCTCACAACGTCACTGCAGCACTGCCTGGGGCATGCCCACGTGTGCCCAGACTCATACTTTGGCACATTCCCACACATGCGCTCGTCCGCCTCCCCCTTCATCTCCCCCTAGCAGCCTTCAGGCCTTACCCTGCTATGCCTGTGTGTGGAGGGGCATCAGAGACCCACGGCGGGTCTAAGGGGGCCCTGGGCACTGGCTGGCACTTGTTATTGACCCTGATGCAACATGGCAAGCAACCTAGTGCCTCCCGGTTGGAAGCTCTCCTCCAGCTCTCTCCCTCCCCGGCCGCTCCAGGCCCCTTTGTCTCCTTCCCTGCTTGCCCCATCCTGTGGTCCCTCTCACTGTCTCTGCCTCTCGGGCTGCCTTCACTGGCCCCTCCCCAGCACAGAACCCTCTCTGCAGTGTCCCCAGGGAGCCCCATCCTCTCTCCTGGGGGCCCCTACCCTGAGGTCTTCCGCAGAAACAAAAGCTTTCAGAGGCAGCCCACTGCTGTCAGCCACCCTGGCCAGTGCTCTGCTGAAGCCTGGTGGCACTGGGGGCAGAAGCCCCAGGCCTCAGCTCCAGGGAACTTGGCAGCAGACTGGGAGGAAGGAAGGGGAGAAATTGAGGCCTGGTGCTGGGCTGGCAGGCCCTGGAAACTCAGATTCAGCAGGGCCTTAGGGAGGATTTGGAGGAGAGGGGGCCGCTGGGCTCCGAAGGCTGGGTCCTGGGTAATTGAAAACACTGAGCTGTGCTAATTGGATTAGGAGGGATACGAGCTGGAGCAGGGGAGTGTGCCCTGGCTTCTATAGGCAGGCTGTCTGCCTCTCTGGCTCCCGAGGCGTCCTGGGTGGAGGGCGGGGGGGTCAGTTCTGCAGGCCCTGCCAGGAGGAGGCAAGGATCTGGCCACAGCGCAGTCTTTGTTAAAGTCACAGATTTCTTTCTCCCTGACGCTGGAGCTGAGGCCTACTGGCCCTGGCCATTGCCCCACCCCAGGACTGTCGATCAGGCTGTCCTGGAGGTCTTGACCTTGCCATAGCTGTAGCATGGCGTGTGTCCCCTTCTTACACCCTCTCCCAGCCTCCCCCTCCCCCATGGTTGTCTGTACTTCTTTCTGCCCAAGTCATCGGGCGACTTGTCAGCCTTTCTCTCATTCTCTCCCTTGCTGCATGGATCTCTCAGATGAAGGACACCATGGTAAGTTGGGGGGAGGGTGGAAATGTTTCCCAGGAGGCCCTGTATGCCTTGTGCCTCATGCAGGCTGCAGTCTTTGCTGGTTCTTGGGTCCTGTGGCACCTGGCGGGGGGTGGCCTTGTTCTGTCTCCAGCAGGTGGGTTTCCTCCCTGGCTCTCCACCTGTCTCTGGTGGTCCACCCTTCCCTCTGGTCTTCCTCTGTCTCCCGTGAGGGGTTTGCCCTGCTTGGTGCCTCTGTCTTTGACTTCCCCTGTCTCTCTTTTCTTTCTTTCACATGCTTTATCTTTCTGTTTGGCTTCTTCTCTCTCTTCTAGTTTCTTTCTCTGTAACTTTTGGTGCCATCCTCTCTCTGTTCTGGTCCCATCCACCTTTGCCCAGCTGCTTTGGGCTCAACTTGCTTCTCCCCACCCCGCAACCCCATGGCCATGTGGCCTGTCAGGCTCCAGACCCGGCTTCCGTCCCCACGGGACAAGGGTGAGGGCTGAAGTGCTCACCACATCTGTCTCCCCTCCTGCCCCAGTGATGGAACCCCCCATCATCACGGAGCAGTCTCCCCGGCGTGTGGTCGTCTTCCCCACAGATGACGTCAGCCTCAAGTGTGAGGCCAGCGGCAAACCCGAAGTGAAGTGAGTGACCATCACCTTCTAAGCCCTGGGGCTTACCACTGACTTGACCCCCCAGACCTTGTGGTCCCCAGGGCCTTCCCCCTCCTGGGCATCCCTCACCAGCCAGGGTCGTCACCCTGGCCCAGCCCCTGGCCCGGCTGCCCGGCTTCAGGCCTCCTCTGAGCCTTTTTCTGCCCCACAGCTTTCGCTGGACTCGGGATGGCGTCCTCTTCAAACCCAGAGAGGAACTGGGCGTGACCGTGAACCAGGCACCCCATTCTGGCTCCTTCAGCATCACGGGCAACAGCAGCAACTTCGCCCAGAGCTTCCAGGGCACCTATCGCTGCTTTGCCAGCAACAAGCTGGGCACTGCCATGTCCCACGAGATCCAGCTCATGGCTGAGGGTGCGAGGCGCTGTGGGGACCGGGGAGAGTCTGGGGCACGTGAGCGGGTCCCCAAAACCAATCTGCCGAACACATGTGAGGCTCCAACCTGAAAGCCGAGCTCTCTCAGCTGGTTGTTAAGAGTGCCAAGGGACCGGGCACCCTGCTGGCCCGCAGCCACCTCTTCCCTACTCACCCTGTTCTTTTGCCACTCTTTCTGGTCAGCTCCATCCCCCCTTCCCTCTCTTCTGTGCTTTGCCCTTCTTGGCCTTGGGGCTTGCTGCCTGGGGGTGGTGGTGCCCTGGGAGGGCTTGTTGACTGAAGGAGGGCAGGACTGAGCCTGTCTGAGCCCGGGCTTTGGCTTCTACCCCATCCATCCCTGAGTTGCTGTCTGCTCTCCACCACCCTCTGGTCATCTCCTTCCACGTCCCCTCCATCACTGTGTCTCCTCTCCCCTCCGTTGTGCACCTCTCACCTGACCCCTCTGGCTTCCCTCTTACCGCTGTCTGCCTCTGTCTTTATCTGTGTCGCCCTCTCCCTGGGGTTTTCCCCCCCAGCATTCCATCCTCCTCTGTGAGCTTTCCACCTCCCGAGCTTGCACTCCTCTCTTCTCCTCTGCCCCTCCAGTTACCTTGGGAACCGTTGCCATGGTTTCTGTGTCAGGATGATGGAAGGGGCTGTGACTCCAGCATCCCACCACGGCTCCCCTCCCCCCATCGCTGCACCTCAGCCTTCCCCCACCCGCCCTCATCCCTTCCTCCTGGTGGGAGCTGAGAGTTGTAGAGAGTTAACCCTTCATGGCCATCTGGCCTCCGGCCCATCCTCTCATCTGCACGCTGCACTGGTCTCGGCCTTGAGCCCAGAGAGGATCCAGAGTCCTTTGCCTCCCTCATGTGCTGCCTCATCAACCTGCGCCCTCGGGTAGCCCTCCTCCTCTCCCTCTACCTTGCCTTCACCAGGAAGAGACTGGAGACTCCACGGGGCCAGCCTCTCTGTGCCTTCCAGGTACCCCCAAGTGGCCAAAGGAGACAGTGAAACCTGTTGAGGTCGAGGAAGGGGAGTCGGTGATTCTCCCTTGCCACCCACCCCCCAGTGCAGAGCCGCTCCGGATCTACTGGATGAACAGCAGTGGGTGCCCATGAGGGGCTGTCGCCAGGGGCAGGGGACGGGTCAGTGGGTGTATGTTCCCGGGGGAGGGCTCCTGACCTCTGACCTCTGCTTCCTTCCTTCCCCCCACCCCCCCTCCCGCCCACAGAGATCTTGCACATCAAACAGGATGAGCGGGTGACCATGGGCCAGAATGGCAACCTCTACTTTGCCAACGTGCTCACCTCAGACAACCACTCAGACTACATCTGCCATGCCCACTTCCCTGGCACTCGAACCATCATTCAAAAGGAACCCATTGACCTCCGGGTCAAAGCCAGTGAGTCCCAAAGGCTCTGATACACTGCCCTACTCTTCTCCTACCCTCATGGTACATCCCATCAGTCTTCTTTGAAGACAGCATGGCCCACACGCCTTCCCTGGGTGGTGAGGGCAGAGATGGGGCCCTCTCTTTAAGAAGACGAGGAGAAGGAAATGGCAACCCACTCCAGTATTCTTGCCTGGAAAAGTCCATGGACAGAGGAGCCTGGTGGGCTGCAGTCCATGGGGTTACATGACTGAGCATGTGTGCATGAGGGTGGAGGGAGATAGGTTGGTAGCAATAAATTGGTAGAACTAAAAGAAAAAGAAAAAGACGACGATGAAACTGAGGCTTGGAGGGCTCCCTGGGGTGTCCAGAGTCACCCAGCCTGGGAACATCGTGGGTGGGGGTGGAAGAGTGCACCATGCTGCCCACTCTGTCTCCTCACAGCCAACAGCATGATGGACAGAAAGCCACGCCTGCTCTTCCCCACCAACTCTAGCAGCCACCTGGTGGCCCTGCAGGGGCAGCCCTTAGTCTTGGAGTGCATCGCTGAGGGCTTGTGAGTCTGGGTCCCCTGGGAGGTGCGGGGCAGGGGTGGAGCCTCTTGTGGGGCGGGGCATGGGCGGAGCCTCTGCCGTGGGGCAGGGCTGAGCGGCCGGGTCCTTTCTCCCCTCTGCTGTCTCCCTTGGCCTCTGTGCGCGGTGGCCCCCGGCAGCCCCACACCCACCATCAAGTGGCTGCGCCCAAGCGGCCCCATGCCAGCCGACAGGGTCACCTACCAGAACCACAACAAGACGCTGCAGTTGCTGAACGTGGTTGAGGAGGATGACGGCGAGTACCGCTGCCTGGCTGAGAACTCGCTGGGCAGTGACCGCCACGCCTACTACGTCACCGTGGAGGGTATGGCGCCACTGCGGGCATTCAGGCAGCCAGAATGCCATGCCCATAGTCACGGGGGGTGGGGGTGGGCAGAGTCAGGGCCGGCCCAGGAGCTGGCCGCCTGCTGTGAGCTCAGATCGGTTCTCCCCTTCCTGGCAGCTGCGCCATACTGGCTACACAAGCCCCAGAGCCATCTGTACGGGCCAGGGGAGACTGCCCGCCTAGACTGTCAAGTGCAGGGCAGGCCCCAACCGGAGGTCACCTGGAGAATCAACGGGATCCCTGTGGAGGGTAAGCAGGGCTTTGAGCAGGGATGGGGAGCGAGGCTGGGGGGCCCAGGGGATAGTGACTCACTGCCCTGCCCTGGGCCCACGGCCCATCTGCCATCCCTGCAGAGCTGGGCAAGGACCAGAAGTACCGGATCCACCATGGAGCCCTGGTCCTGAGCAACCTGCAGCCCAGTGACACTATGGTGACCCAGTGTGAGGCCCGCAACCGCCACGGGCTCCTGCTGGCCAATGCCTACATCTATGTTGTGGGTGAGTGTCAGCCACTTTGCCTTAGAGCCCCCTGGTCCATCCCTGTAGCCCTGCCCCGGGCAAGGCCACCAGGCCGACTCAGCCACCAGCTGGTCTGTGTGCAGTGGCTGCTCTGCTCCCCACGTCTCCCGCCCATCCTGCCAACAGTGGGGCAGGGTCTTGCTGGTATTTCCAGACGAAAAAGCAGCCCCTGAGCATGGTCCCTGAGCACAGACTCACCCTGGCCAGGATGCTTCTGTCCCCAAGCCTCGGGGAAGGTGGGCTTGGGGAGACCCAGAGAGCTTTCAGGAAGAGGCAGGCTGTCAGCAGGTGGGGGGGAGCCTCACATAATTGATAGGACATGGGAGACTGAGACAAGAGGCCAAGAGAGGCTCAGACTGGCAGGGGCTGTAGCTGGGCGCAGGGAAGCAAGATGGGCAGGGCTCACGGGGGCCTTGTGGAGTCACTGTCAGCTTCCAGAGGCTGCCAGCTCTCCTGGGAGAAGCTGCCCTGGTGATCCCTGCGTCTGCCTGCTGACTGCATGTGGGTGCTTGCCAAGCCCTGAGTTCAGCCCTGTCTCCCATGACTGCTCCTCGCTCAGAGCTGCCGGCCAAGATTCTGACCCCAGACAATGAGACATACATGGCAGTCCAAGGCAGCACCGCCTACCTTCTGTGCAAGGCCTTCGGAGCCCCTGTGCCCAGCGTCCAATGGTGCGTGCCCTGACCCTGGCGGCAGGGGGTGGGGGACACCTGGAAGCCATCTTCCAGACCAGGCAACCAGGTAGGGCCAGGGGTCCCACCCACTGGGGTCTGAGTGAGGCCTTCCTTGCTTGTCCCAGGCTGGACAGGGACGGAAAGACAGTGCTACAGGACGAGCGCTTCTTCCCCTATACCAACGGGACCCTGGGCATCCGAGACCTCCAGGCCAATGACACTGGGCACTACTTCTGCCAGGCTGCTAACGACCAAAGCAACATGACCATTGTGGCTAACCTGCAGGTCAAAGGTCCGATGCCCCTCCCTGCTGCTGCTGATTGTAGCTAGCAGCTCCTCCCCAAGGGAGGGTCAGGGTCTCTGGGGGACCCTGGAATGACCTCCCCCTTCTCATCCTCATCTTCAGATGCCACTCGGATCATGCAGGGGCCCCGCAGTGCAATCGAGAAGAGAGGCTCCCGAGTGATGTTCACGTGCCGGGCCTCCTTTGACCCCTCCCTGCAGCACAGCACCACCTGGCGCAGGGATACTCTCGACCTGCAGGAGCTGGGGGACAGTGACAAGTGCGGGACCAGCCCTAACCTGGGCTTGGCGGATGCAGGGGGCAGAGGGGGGGAAAAGCAGGATGCCCAGACCTCCTGGCCTCATCCATGGGGGCAGGGGCGTGACCCGGTGTTGAGCACGAGGACCTGGCAGGAGAGGGAGGAGGGAGGAGTGGCATGTGGGGGGGCAGGGAGTCGTGGGTCCCCTGGGGGGGCTGGAAGGACAAGTGTGCCCCCACCCCTCACCCCTCACCAGGTACTTCATAGAAGACGAGCGCCTGGTCATCCACAGCCTGGACTACAGCGACCAGGGCAACTACAGCTGTGTGGCCAGTACCAAGCTGGACATGGTGGAGAGCCGGGCAGAACTGCTGGTGGTGGGTGAGTCCCCAGAGGGTGCCTTATGGCACAGAGGCGAGGGAGACACGAGAGCCCAGGCATCCGTCGCAGGGGAAGTGGGCCAGCTGGGTCGTGAGTGGGCCCGAGATCCAACTCCTGTGGCCCCCAGGGAGCCCCGGACCCGTGCCCCAGCTGGAGCTGTCTGATCGCCACCTGCTGAAGCAGAGCCAGGTGCGCCTGTCTTGGAGCCCGGCTGATGACCACAATGCCCCCATTGAGAGTAAGAAGACAGCAGCATGGTGCTCTGTTCGCCCTCCCTCCTGGCTCCCTCTCCCTTCCTCCAGGAGAGTCAGACTTTGCATGCCCCCCCTGACTTGCCACCCACCAATGACTCCACCGCCGGTTCACTTCTTGGCAGAGTATGACATTGAATTTGAGGACAAGGAGATGGCGCCCGAGAAGTGGTACAGCCTGGGCAAGGTGCCCGGGAACCAGACCTCCACCACCCTCAAGCTGTCGCCTTATGTCCACTATACCTTTCGAGTCACTGCCATCAACAAATACGGCCCTGGGGAGCCCAGCCCAGCCTCTGAGACTGTGGTCACGCCGGAGGCAGGTGAGCGCCAGGGAAAGTCAGGAAAAGGGACAGTGCCCAAGCTCCCTTGCTGCCAGGTGTTCCCCTGGGGTGGCAGCTGCCTCCTGACGTCCAGGGTCACAACAGGTCATTTCTTCCTTGGTCTTCGGCCTTCATGGCCTTAGTGGGCGTCCACAGCATTGATGTGTCCACATTACTTTGCAGCCCCAGAGAAGAACCCCGTGGACGTGAAGGGGGAAGGAAACGAGACCAACAACATGGTCATCACTTGGAAGGTGAGGGCCCTGGGCCGAGCTCATCCATGGACCTCAGATCAGGACTCAGGGGTTTGCTAACCCCTCAAAAAGCTGGCTGTCCTAAGGACCAGGGACCTTAGGAGCTTCTTTTTTGCTCTCCCCCTCTAGCCGCTACGGTGGATGGACTGGAATGCCCCCCAGGTTCAGTATCGAGTGCAGTGGCGCCCCCAGAAGATGCAGGGGGCCTGGCAGGAACAGATAGTCAGTGACCCCTTCCTGGTGGTGTCCAATACATCTACTTTTGTGCCATATGAGATCAAAGTCCAGGCCGTCAACAGCCAGGGCAAGGGCCCCGAGCCCCAGATCACCATCGGCTACTCTGGGGAGGACTGTGAGTATCAGGTTTGCCCTGCCCATACGTGCGGGGTGGGGTGGAGCCTGCATGTGCCTCCCTGGCCCACTCTCCACCCCCCACTCAGGGATCCGGCCCAGTGCCAGCTCCTACCTCTTAATATAGTGCATTCCCTAAGAGTAAGGCTATTTGCTTACATAACCAAAGAGCTATCTTGCAAATCCAGAAAGACACTGACCATCCATAAGTTGGCATCTATAACTTAACTGTCTGTTTTGATGGCAGCTGATACCCCCAATGTGGGACCCAGGGCTGTCTTTCCTGCAGTCCATGGTCCAAGTCAGGATCTCCCGCATGGCGTCCACTTATCCTGCTTCTTCCCTTGCCTCAAATCTAGAACATCACCAAATGTTTAGTTTGATTTTGCAATCAAGATCTTTTCTAGTTCCTCTATCACGTAGTTACTATTTTCTCTCTCTTTAAGGAGAGACCCTGAGACCATGCAAATGCCCTTGCTCATTAAACTGCCCACCTGTCACATCACATCCAAATCCATCTTCCCGCTGTGGGTGGGCGGAGTCCTGGGCTGGCCTCATCTATGTCACCGGCCCTTTGCAGACCCCCAGGCAAGCCCTCTGCTGGAACCTGTCGAGGCCCTCAATTCGAGCACTGTGCTGGTCAGGTGGCAGTCTGTGGACCCAGCCCTGGTCAAGGGCCACCTCCGGGGATACAATGTAAGAATCCATCGTGTGGGGGCTGGGGAAATCCCCGGGGTGACGGGTGGGGCAACCAGGAGTGACAGGACTGGGGCTGGGTTTCTGCCAGCTGCTCCTTTGGGAGGGCCATGAGGAACACATGCTTCTCACCCCACCCTACCCCGACCTGGGTCACTGCCAGACCCTTTCTGTCCTTCTGGGGTCTCCTATCCACCTGCAGGTGACATACTGGTGGGAAGGCAGTCAGAGGAAGCACAGCAAGAGGCACGTCCACAAAGGCCACGTGGTGGTGCCAGCCAATGCCACCAGCACCATCCTGGGAGGCCTGCGGCCCTACAGCTCCTACCGGCTGGAAGTTCAGGCCTTTAATGGGCGGGGACTGGGGCCTGCCAGCAGGGTGACCTTCAACACCCCTGAGGGAGGTGAGCTCTGTGCCCTGCACCCCTGCCTCCACGCCCCCCATCCCTTCCCACCTGGGGTGACCAGGGCAAGGACTTGCCACTGGTCTCTGTGCCCTGCAGTGCCTGGACACCCCGAGTCGTTGCACCTGGAGTGCCAGTCGGACACCAGCCTGCTGCTGCACTGGCAGCCTCCACTCAGCCATAACGGCGTGCTCACAGGCTACGTGCTCTCCTACCAACCTTGTACGTGTGTTGTGGGCCTGGCCAGGAGGTGGAGGGGGGAGCCGGGGAGTGGGCCGCACTGGGGGCCAAAGCCCACTGCTCACCTGTCCTTGCAGTGAACGACGGGAGCAAGGAGCAGTTGTCCTTTGACCTTCCGGACCCCGAGCTGCGGACACACAACCTGACCAATCTCAGCCCCCGCTTGCGGTACCGATTCCAGCTGCAGGCCACTACGAAGGAGGGCCCGGGGGAGGCGATTGTGCGGGAAGGAGGCACCATGGCCTTATCTGGTGAGCTGGCGGGGGCTCCAGGCAGGCGGCGAGGGCAGGCCTTGGGGCGGCCTCCAGGTCCCGTGACCCTTCTCTCCATCACCAGGGATGCCGGACTTTGGCAACATCTCCGCCATGGCTGGCGAGAATTACAGCGTGGTCTCCTGGGTCCCCAAGGAGGGCCAGTGCAACTTCGGGTTCCAGATCTGGTTCAAAGCCCTGGGGGGTGAGCCTCAAAAGGGGGTTCAGGGCCCAGAGGGGCTGGGACTGGCATGGACCCAGGGTGCTGCCAGGCCCTCCCTGCTCAGTCGGATTGCCCTCGCCCCCTACAGACGAGAAACTGGTGGCTCATCTCCCACCACAATACGTCAGCTACAACCAGAGCTCCTACACGCAGTGGGACCTTCAGCCTGACACTGACTATGAGATCCAGCTGCTTAAGGAGCAGGTGCTCCTGCACCAGATGGCAGTGAAGACCAACGGCACTGGTGCGGGGGCCGCGGGCAGGCCTAGTCAGCTTCCCTCCATCCCTGGACTGCCCACTGCCCCGCCAGAACCTCTGTGCCCCTAGGCCCGTGATGGAGAAAAGTCCGGGTCCCTGAAAAGAGCCCTTTTTTTTCATATCCTCCACTGGTCCTGTTTCCAGGGAAAGCATTTCTACTGAAGGTCTTCCTCCCTGTTCCCCCAGAGGGCCCCCCAACTTTCCCTTCCCGCATCAGCTCACCCCTCCTCCAGGCTGTCTGAAGTCCTCAGACATCCTCAGCTGCTCCTGTGAAGTCCCTGGCATGGGGGTTCCCTGGCATGGGGGGTTGGCAGGGTTGGGGGTTGTCAGGGGACAGAGCCAGAGGCTTAGAGGGAGGCCCTTGCCCAAGGCCGGGGACTGATGGGGCAGGCCCAGGTCCTGCAACTGCAGTGCCCCTGGGGGCCCCCCGCATTCAACCCTGGCCTTGGCCTCAGTCTCTGGCCTCCTCTCCCCTCCCCAGGCCGAGTGAGACTGCCTCCCACTGGCTTTGCCACCGAGGGCTGGTTCATCGGCTTTGTCAGCGCCATCGTCGTCCTGCTTCTTGTCTTACTCATCCTGTGCTTCATTAAGCGCAGCAAGGGTGGCAAGTACTCGGGTACATCCCGGCTGTGCCCCCACTCCCGCTCGGTCCCTGAGCCCGGGCAAGATAGCATGGGCGTGCTGGGGGCGGCGGGCAGGTGGCCCGAGGGGAGTTGTCGGCGTTGAGTGTGCGAAGGACTGGGCCCATGTGCCTGGGGCCGGGCTGGGTGATGTGGCAGGGTGAGCAGCTGGGCCCATTCTGTGTCTGCAGTGAAGGACAAGGAGGACACCCAGGTGGACTCGGAGGCCCGGCCCATGAAGGACGAAACCTTCGGAGAGTACAGGTGAGCTGGGGGCGGAGCCCATGCCCCCGGGCTGCCCAGCGGTGCGCTTTGTGTGCGTGACTGCATCTCTTTGTCTCTCCTTTGTGCTGCGGGGTTGACGGCAGGTCCCTGGAGAGGTAAGGCTGGGCTGTCACACTCGGGGGGCAGGAACCCTCCTGTGGGTGCTTTGTGCCAGGCCAGTGCACTCCGCATGCCTCCCGATCCTACAGGTCCCTGGTTCAGGGACCAGCCAACAATGCTGACACTCAGCTCCCAAGCCTCCCTGTCCCTGTCCCTGTCTCCAGGGACGGGCTGGATGGGCACCCCTGCTCAGCCCGTCTGGAGACGGGTGCCCCCACACCCCCAGGGTGCAGCATGTAAGCTGCACATGTCCAGAGTGAGGGCCTTGTCCCCAGTGTGCTCAGAACACACAGAAGGGAGGTCGAACCCAGGCCTACCGTCTCAGGCCAGAGGCTGCCTGCTCCTGCTGGGTACCATCAGGCCATCTCACATGGTCCCTGCCCTCCCCTTGCAGTGACAACGAGGAGAAGGCCTTTGGTAGCAGCCAGCCATCACTCAACGGAGACATCAAGCCCCTGGGCAGTGATGACAGCCTGGCCGACTACGGAGGCAGCGTGGATGTCCAGTTCAATGAGGATGGCTCCTTCATTGGCCAGTACAGCGGAAAGAAGGAGAAGGAGGCAGCAGGGGGCAACGACAGCTCCGGGGCTGCATCCCCCGTCAACCCTGCCGGGACCCTGGAGTAGCGGGGTCCGGCCAGGCCAGGCAGAGCACCGCCCAGGTCGTGGGGCTGTCAGAGGTCACCACAATGGCCCAGCCCGAGACCTGTGCTGGGTCCCTGACCCTGGGACTGAGGCCCGTCCTTCTCTCCAGTGAGTTGGGGGGCCTCAACGCCCCCTTCTGACTCCCCGGTCCCCACTTGATTGCCAAAACCCAGCTCCTCTGCTTCTTGGGCACACACTGCTTTTTCACTCCAGCTCGGGGGCCACTCACATGCCAGGAGCTTTCAGGTGCTGCCTTGCCGGCCTTTGGGCAGGGTGAGGCTGTGATTGGGGCGAGGAGGCAGGCACAGCTGTTGAGGGGCTCTCCCCAGGACCAGGGTTGGCACCTCCAGCCCCAGCCACTCGTTGGCCAGTCGGACTGGGACAGGGGACCAAAGTCGGTATCCCCGCCATCTGCCCCATCGTCTCGGCCATCTCTGCTCCAACTGGGATGGGAACTGAACAAGCTGGCCATGGGTATGGAGGGGGCCATCTAAACAGACCAGAGTCCCCCTCCCTGACTGCCTGTGTCAACTTGGCCCACCCCACCCTGCAGCTGGCTTTCAGGAGTTCCAGACACATGCTGCCTTCGGTGCCCACCACACAACATCCAAGTGGGCTCTGCTGTCCCTGCCCAGGCCCACCTCCTCCCCCGGCCCCAGGACCCCTTACCAACCCATGCCCCCAACCCCAGTCTGAACTTGTTCAGCCCCTTGCTCAGCTATCCCCCCCAGCCCTGCCCCCCCACCCCCGACCTTGGAAATGTAAATACACCGCGACTTTGCAAGTTTGTGCTCTCGCCCTTTCCCCATATGCCACTAGTGTGTAGGCAGATGTCTGAGTCTCTAGGTGGTTTCTAGGTTTTCTAGCAATTAGCTTTGATGATCCCATCCCAGGAAAAAAGAAAAACAGACAAAAAAAAAAAAGGAAAGATCGGTTCTCCCAGCAGCCACCATCGCCCCGAATGCCTTTGCTTGGTCTGTCGATGAGCCCTTTACAAAAAACAGAAGTATATATATATATGTACATAAATATCAGAATTATAAAAGGCAAATAAAAACCTGGAAACAAAGAGGGGCTCTTGTCATTTTACCCAGCACCGGGTCCCGCACTGTGGTTCCACCTGGCCTGTTCCCCTTACCCCGCTGGACTTCCAGAGGCAATCTGGGCTCTCAACCACTGTTGGGCACCTTGTTCCTGCAGCTTCAGGCCCCGGTGGGTAGAGCACCCTGGGCTTCCTGGCCCTCTCAGGCAGTAAACACCCCCCTCATATGAATGACAGAGACCTCAAGTGGACCTGCTGGTACAGACGGCCAGCCGGTCCTGCTGATCTTCGTCTGTTTGCCCTACTCCCATGCTCAGCAGAGGTCTTGGTGTCTGTCCTCTTTAGCTGAGTCACTACAAAACACCAGTAGAAGGCATCTTTGCCCCCATTCTCACAATCAAATCTGACCCCTCCACCCCAGCCCCAGCCCGGAACCCTCAGTGAGGTTAGCTGAAATCCGAGGTCGCCCTCTACACCCAGGTACCAGGTCCCACCCCACTGCGACTCATCAAGGATTATTCTCTTGCTGTATCTTCCTTGTCTTTTCTGCATCTCTCATTTTTGGCTCCTGTTGGTTAGTTCCGGGAGGAAACATGCAGTAACCACCTTTCATCCCTAAAAACACCAGCTAGTAACACTACATGCCTCTGCGGCTCTTGCCCTGCTATTCTGCCCCTATTAATGGATCACCCCTCAAGATTTGTCTACCCTTATCATCCCCTCTCAAATCTCCACCTAAAACAGCATCTGCTTCTTGGCCCCAAAACATGTCTTCTTGTTCTTACAACAATAGAATGTCTTCACTCAGCTGAAGATGCATTTCCCAGACTCCTTTGCACCTAGGTGGGGCCACTGGGACGGAAGCGCGGGGCTGTGCCCTGAAAGAAGCACAGTGTGTCTTTCCCTGCCTGGCTCCATCTCCTGGCCAGCCTGGGAGAGTGGAAGTTGGCTGTTGATGACAGAGCAGCAACATAGAAAGAGCCCAGGGTCCTGGTGAGATGGAGCTGCCATGTCAACCCTGGGCTGCCTCTCTGGATGATAAAAAAAAAAATTTACAGACTTTGTTTTCTAGAACAATTTTAGGTTTACAGAAACATTGAGTGGCGAGTAGAGAATTTCTGCGTAGATTTCAGTTCCTCACCAGTTTCCCTCTTTATTCCCCTCTTCCATCTCTTGCAACTGATGATCAAAAGTGATTTGTTAGCATTAACTGAAGTCCACAGCTGCCATTAGTGTTCACTCTTGGTGTTGTTATGTTCTGTGGATTTGGACAAATGTATGGTATCATACAGAGTAATTTCACTGCCCTAACATCCCCCCAAAATGTCATCACTGGGACTTAGCATGCATGATATAAAGTGCACACCTGAAGTTGGCACTTTTGAATCCACCACTCACAACACTGGCAACACAGAAAGCCCTATATGCCCCTACCCACTACTTGTTCCAGACACAGCCCCGCTTATGGCATCTTCCCTCCCATGCCCTGCTGGGGAATGGTGCAGATGTACCACAGCTTACACATCCATGTGCCTGTTGGTGGACACTTGGGTTGTTTCCAAGCTCTGGCTGTTCTGGGTAAAGTGGATCTATGCAGTCCTTTCTTGGAAGCGCATGCCCCAGGACGAGTGTGACTGGGCCAGGTATTAAGCTCTTGTCTCTTGAGTGCCAACTGACTTTGCTCTCCTCTGCCTCTTGATGCTAGAGCAGAGACTCTGCAAATCCCATTCCTGCTTGGCCTGCTGGCCCCATCCTAAGCTCTGCTCTCAGAGGCTGTTAGAGGGAGACAGAAAGGCCCGAGGAGGAAGAAAGGGTGTGCTTTTGTTGAAGCATCACCCTCACAAGTCCTTCACTCCTCCTCTGGCCTTGAAGACAAGAGGGGCTGTGCTTTGTTGCATCCCCAAACTGAGGCACCAATGCCAGGTGACAAATTCCCCTCCTCCTGGGGTCCCCCCTGGGGCTCTTTTCTGAGCTTGGAATCCCCAGCACTGGCTAGGCTCTGCCCCTACCTTAACACTGAGTGTCACCTCTCAGGGCCCCCATCAGTGTGGCTAAGTTTGAGGAGTTGCAGTCCTGCTTTTCATTCCAGCCTTAGGGGCTGTATGAGTTTGTGAAGGTGGCTGTGACCAAGGACTACAAGCTGAGGGGCTGCAACAGCAGAAACGCATTGTCTCCCAGATATGGAGGATGGATGTGTAGGATCGAGGAGTTGGCAAAGTCCTATTCCCTCTGTAGCTCAGCTGGTAAAGAATCTGCCTGCAATGCGGGAAACCTGAGTTTGATCCCTAGTTTGGGAAGATCCCCTGGAGAAGGGAAAGGCTACCCAATCCAGTATTCTGGCCTGGAGAATTCCCTGTACTGTATACTTTATGGGGTCGCAAAGAATCGGACGCGACTGAGTGACTTTTTATTTATTTATTATTATTATTCCCTCTCAAGAAGCTGGGGAAAGACCTGCCTTTGCTTCTCCTTCCTGATTGGTTGGATCTAGACCGATGGAGAAACTGGTAACAAGGGTAGCGTCAGGAATCTCATCTTCCAGTTCAAAGGTACCATTTGCTTCTCACCACTCACAGCTCCACCTCTCACGTGAGAAACCAAGAGAGGCTGGGAATTAAGTCAACACTGGGATTCTTCAACCTGCATGATGAAACGCTGTGCTTGACTTGCAGCACGTTTCAGCTCCATGGCTACAAAAAGTAAGAGAACTTTTAGGGTTGTCGTGGAAGCCCTCTGATACTTTGCAAAGGGACACCCATTCTCTATGAGACCCGTTGCCATTAGATCCATGAGGAGGCCCCAGTCTCAGCATTTTCTGGGGGTGTGGGCACAGGGAAGACTTAAGAGGAAACAGCTGTAACCCCAAAAGAACAGTAAGATTTTTGCTAGTTATTACTGACAGACACCTGGGAGCATTTATGTGAGAGTGGATCCTAAGGATGTTATACCAAGAGGGTGGAATGTAATGTTGGGTTAGACACAATTTATTGAGCTGGGTGCATTTACCGGAGAGTCTATATTCATGTTAACCCATGTAGCTGGCAGGGATTCTAACCGACAACTTGTTTGGATGACTTCAACTTGGACTCCACTGTGGCCTAAGTTCAATGAGATCAAGATGCCAGCACAACCTTGGCTGCTGTGGGGGCATGAATGCAATGATGTAATTGCTAGTGGGAATTGCAGGTATTTGTGCCTTGACTTGAAAGTTACAGTTGGGATGGCATGGCTCATATCCCCATTTATCTATTTGAGTCTGTTCAGAAGGTGGATGGATCTTGGAGAAAGACTACAGACTGATTTCAACTTCATCAGGTGGTGACTACAATGATAGCTGCTGTTCCAGATAGAGTCTCTTTCCCAAAGCAGTCAGCACACAACCCCTGGTCCCTGCTATGCAGCTGTTGGCCTATTGACTATTTTACTCCATACCAATATGCAAAGGGATTCCCTGGTGGCTCAGATGGTAAAGCATTGGCTCACAATGCGGGAGACCCAGGTTCGATCCTTGGGTCAGGAAGATCCCCTGGAGAAGAAAATGGAAATTCACTCCAGTACTCTTGCCTAGAAAATTCCATGGATGGAGGAGCCTGGTGGGCTACAGTCCATGGGGTTGCAAAGAGACATGACTGAGCGACTTTACTTTCTTTCTTTTCTTTTCTAATACACAAAGTCCATCAGAAGCATTTTGTTTATACTTGGCAGGGCCAATAGCATACTTAAGGATCAAGTCACCTCTCCTCCTTTCTGACATAATGTACTGCTCAGAGACTCAGACTATCTCACCATTTCTCACAAAATCTACTGGTCCACTGCACTGATGACATCATCCTGATTGAATCTGATAAGCAAGAAGCAGAGAGTACTAGAGATGCTTTGTAAGACATATACAGACCAGAAGGTGGAAGATTTACTCCATGAAAGTCTAGGGACGTAAAAC